ATTTCTACAGGATTCTCACATTTGTGGTTTAAACGATATCTGTGATGAGTGGCTCGTCAAGAAAAAACAAGAAAAAATCTTTTGGAGTTTTGGCTGATTTCCCATAGCCTTTCACTCCTGGAAGATCTGTAATTATGTTTTCTGATCCGATTCAAACACGCTTATTTGGAGGATCCAAATTTTTTCCTTGAAAGAAGCTACGCTCATTCGTTCCAGTTTCTTCTTGGATATCGTCATCATGTTGTGCACCAGCATGTATCTCTTTCTCAACCTTAGGAATATTACCATCCTGCTCTCGCTATCAGGTTAGTCACTACAAATACTAACGTTATCCACTTCGTACTCTCGGTCTGACTCACCTCTATCAATTGGTTCATCCCTTGCTTTAATATCTTTCCACAGAGCCCGAAGACGCTCCTGCTCTTTTTTATAATTGTCCATAATAATTATTGCAAAGCCTGAAAATATGCATAAAACGGGCTTAAATAAAGTCGTGAAAAGGAAAAATGCCAACTTACGTCCAAAACCTGCGATAAAAGTGGAAAAATACACTATAACTACAATTGTAACTATTACCGACACGTAGGGTGTGACAAACCCAAACCCGACATACCGACGTGCTACCTCTTCAAACTAATCTTGTCGAGTGGCGCGGCATGTAACTGTACGACATGTGCCTGTGCGGCTTGCAGAGCTGGCGGAGGAAGGTGTAAACGGAAGTTACTCAGCCGCTGAAGGCCAAACGCGGCAAATTTAAAAAAATGAGGTGTGTCACACCCCACGTCTTATGCGTCTTAAAATTATATCCATCTTTCAGCGCCCTCTGTAGATGTTGTACATATTTGAGTTAAAAAAAGAAGATGAGACTATTAATTAGTAATTTGTTCATAATTTTATTTTAGATGGAGGGAGGTTATTTATAAACTGGCTTTTTGATAGACCAGTACTAAGTTCAAAATGATATTTTTTCATCCTTTTCCTCTTAAAATAATTCAAACATTCTATTCTTTACTCGACAAACTTAGATGGGTATAATTAATCCATTGGGTTATGTTCTGTGATAGATAAAAAAATTCAAATATTTTAAGATAAAAAGAAAACGAAAAATTATAGTTTTGGATTAGAGGAACAAAATATATGAAGATATTTACTATTATAACCACATATTTTTTATTCTTTGGATTAAAATTGCACAAATTGTTTTTAGGTTAGGAGATTGTATATAATAGAAGTTGTGCGAAAGTTCCTGTGGAAAGTGTTAGCTTTGTTGGGTCTAGTTGTCACTTTCCCTGTTCATTTTTATGTAAAAAAAAAACGAAAAGAGTATCTGTTTAAAAATATAAAGTTGAATTTTATTATATTTGATTTAATTTGAGTCAAGTCAGCTGTTCATTTATTAGCTATACTCTGTTTTTAAACTAGGAGGAGCGAATTGAACAGACGCATTTACACAGGGAAAAGTAACTAGATTTGTTACTAAGAGCGAGTTTCGAAATATAGTCGTGTTCAAAATTTATGAAATAATTATCTTTATCGGCCTTAGTCGGTGAACGGCCAATGAGCGGTTAAGAAATGAATAAATGTCATAGAAGTAATTTTTTAATTGGTCCCAGACTTCGAGCATATATATTTCATAGAGTCCGCATTCAACAGAGTTTGTTTGGGTTATGGGGGGAAATAGGTAGACACTATTTTTAGTGTCGCATCATTTTTACGGGGTTGCAATTAATATAAATAATAAATTTGAGACATACCTTTAAAATTCTTTAAATTATGCACATATTTTATAAACTTGCATTACTTAAGTAGGTATCTAATAATAGTAAATTATTATTATTATTATTTGTGTTGGGCACATCAGATTTTTTTAATTCAAACATCAGAAAGTGTAATACGGAAAAATGAAGGTTGAAATAATAGGCAATAAAAAAGATAAAAAGCTTATATTTAAAAATCAAAAATATAAATAAATATTAGGCATATTATAAAAATATAAAAGAATTTTTTCCAATAATTTATTAAACATAAAAATATTGTTCGTAAACAATGTTCAATAGATTACTAAACGATATACTACTGTACAGAAATAGAAATCAAGCTAATGCTTAGGTATATTTTCACAGCCAGTCGTTAACAAATAAGTGAAGCTTAATTTTTATCGGAAAACTGTCTTAAGATTCAATTATTTCTTAATGACTAGGAGTACGAATAAAAGAAGCCTAAAATGACTTTTTTTTTAAAAAATCACATTAAGCTTTGCTTATTTCTCAACGACTAGCAGTCTACTTAATTAAAGAACATAGGTATTTAATAAAAAATAATGATTGTCAATTTTTGTGATTTATAAAAAATATAGTTAGTAATAGGTAAGTATTTGAAAATGTTGTATTAAAAAGTACTTAGTAACTTATATGTTTTCTAATTCTGCATTTTCTTTTTCTGCAACAGAGGCCTTATGGTTTATATCATCACTGAAAAATTAAAAAATTTTGAACGAATAACCCACAAGTGCAGGGTTCTTTACCTTTTAGTTTCATCTTCTTCTGGGTCCTCAGTAAGTCCTGATTGCAATGCACCTGAAATTAATCTAGTTCTTCCTCCGCATCCAGTCTTTGACATAAACATATGTCCAGAAAAATGATTGGAACATAAAACATCACTATTTGAAATGTTTTCTGGAGTAGGTTTCAATATGTTTCAACAAATGCGTTTTTCGGCAGGATTAGTTGGAAACCTACAAAAAACAAAAATTATTGATTTAACATCTTCAACATTATCATGATAAAATGAGATAAAAACGAAAAGCTTGTTTATATTGAAAAATTGTGATTATTTTTTTTTTAACTTTTTAGTAGAGTCCAAAATCTAAAACAATATTCCTCATACATAATACAAGTTCTTTAAATTTAATTCACTAAATTTACCATTTATTTTAAATTCATGTTTAACGGCCTTTTGCATAAAATGTAGGTACTTATGTTTCTTTTAAAAAATTGGTAGAGACGCTAATGGTTACTTACTTATGAATTGACCTTGACGATGCCTTTTCGTATTTCTATTTAAAACTTACATAAACTCTCACCATTATTAAAATGTGTATCACTAAAGTATTAAAATACAAAAAATCACTTATAAACTACAAAAATAAGCTAGAAATGAATGAAAGTCAAAAATCAAATGACAGTTTTGACAATTTCGAACGATTTGACATGCCAAGCAAAACGAAACAGACCAATGGGAATGCTGGACACTATATTTCCCCCCTGTACCAAAACAAAGTCCATTTGGACGATGGCTCTAGTAATATATGCTCGAAGGTCCCAGACAACGATCGCAAATTTCACATTATTGTGATCTGAAATGTGTGTCTAAAACGAAATGTCACTGTCAAATTAAAGTCAATATGGTTGTTGATTGATGTCAGAAATACTTTTTTCTTGCTTTTGAAATCGACTTTTTGAGAATAACTATGATCTTTTTAAAATGGATAATAAATATTTAAGAAAATTGTTAATGGAATATCCAGATGTAGCCAGGTTAGTATAAAATATAAAGATCTGTTTACATTTTAAAGGATATATTTGTTATAGGTATAAAAAGTAAAAGTTAATCAGTGAATGACAAGTGGATCACACAGTAACTGGTATCTCTTCTATGAGTAATGTGGATATTACGGCTTATTTAGTGTTAACCCATGGTTAATGCTCTAGAGGGCAAATAAAGGCATTCAAAAGTTTACAGGCCTATGAGTCAGAATTTGTTTTGAAAACTGGAACCAACATTTTCATAACACTACATATATTTTTTAAAGTGAACTATTCATACATACCTATTTATTAATTTTAAGTATTTTTTAAATAATTTTTGTGAAAATAATGTTAACTCATTGTGCCAAATTAAGATTATCCCTAAAGTAGTAGATGGTGTTTTAAATGTTATAACAATTTTGTAAATAGTTTTATTCTATTCTAATAAATAAAATTGCTTGAATATTTAGTTATATTTTAATCATTTTGGTTAGATATTCATCAATTTTTAGTTTTAAAAAATCAGTAATAAAATTATTTTTTTCTAAAATACTTCGGAATTCATCTCTTCATGGTAATCTCCTATCTTTTTACCTTCAAAAACCAATAATGTATTTTCTACAAAACCTTCAGAATCAGCATGTAAAATAATAAGGTGTCTTCCCTTTCTTGTAAGGCTTTTCAGGAATTGCTACCTTTAATAGTACTCAGTGTAGAAGGATCCATAATTGTAGATTTTCAATACAATTGCTTACTGAAGAACTATTATTTGCGAAATAAAGTAAAAAACTAAGTAATGGATGAGATATTAAATTATAAAATATCAGAACTGTCAACAATATCAATTATTAACTGATGTCACATCAAAGTATGTGGCTGATGTTCATGCTAAAAAGTAATGTGTGAAACTGACTGTAATCTAACCGATCATAAAGCTACAGAATTGCCAACTTAAATTCAAATCGCTCCTCTTAGTTTAAAAATAGAGTATAGTGCGAGTGTTTCGGGATTTCTTAAATAATTATCTAGAAAATTTTTCTTTAAAATAAACAAATTTGAATTTAATAAGAATGCAAGTTTTCTTAACCCTTAAGTGCGCTCGCGGGGGCACTAAGTGCTCCGTTTTCAGTAAAAGTCATAACTTATTTGATTGGTCCTAATATTGCCGCCTTGCCCATCTAATCTAACACTGGAATGTGCAGTGCCTGTACTAGCGTTTGTGAGTAGTTTGAATAAGGGCGCCTTGAGATATGGATGTACATGAAGCAGGCTGCTCCAAAGGTGCACAAAGTGCTCTGGCGTGACCACTTATGTAAGTATTATATTTTTATTATTATTATTATTTTTATTTGCTCATATTATTTTGCTAAAATAGTGTTTGATAAACAGTGTAAAAGATTTTCTTGCACGCTCCAAAATTGTTGGTTAGTTTTTTTATGGTAATAAAATATTGTTATCTCTTATCATTTCCAGGGAACCGGGAAATGCGAATAAATTGACCGATGCAGAACTAGCTTATTATTTAGAGAATGATGCAGATGACATTGGTTCTGCAAGAGAGACTGACACCTACTATATTGAATCTGAAGATTTCGAAAAAGAAATTCTTCATGAGAGTGAGCTTGATAGTGACTCAGAACAAAGCGTGGATCAGAATGTGGAGAAATCTGATGACGAAAATATGGTTGACTCTGACGACGAAAATATGGTTGATTCTGACGACGAAAATATGAATGATCAAGACTTTTTTCTTGGAAGGGACAAACAAACTAAATTGTATACAAATCCAATTATTCCTAAATTTAGTAAAATTGGGACTCAAAACATCATCAAAATTTTACCTGGACTAATACATATTGCAAGATCCTCATGAATCTACAGCTTTTCAAAAATTTATAGATGTCTAAATGATTAATGACATGATGACATTGATAAATACACTAACGTATCGTTTGAAATTACCAAACTCCCAAATATGGAAGAGAAAGGGACGCCGAGGAAGTTACAAAAGCTGAACTGCTGGCATTTTTAGGCTTACTTCATCTTGCTGAAGTCAAAAAGGTAAATCACACTAATTTCCAAGAGCTATGGACAGATGATGGCACTGGCATCGAAATTTTTCGCGGCTGCATGAGCTACAAAAGATTTTTGTTTCTTTTGGGTAGCATTGGGTTTGATGATAAGGAGACAAGATCTTACAGACGCAAAATAGACAAATTAGTCCCAATTCAATCTAATTTAGATGTGTTTGTCGATAATTGCAAAAAAAAGCTATTATGTTGGAGAATTCGTCACAATAGATGAGAAACTAGAACCATTCCGAGGCCGTTGCAGCTTCTTTCAATACATACCAAGTAAACCCGCCAAATATGGTATCAAGATTTTTGCAATGTGCGACTCCAAAACATAATATACGCATAATCTAGAAATTTATTGCGGAAAACAACCACATGGACCCTATGCAAAGTCAAATACTCCAACAGACATTGTGCGTAGGTTGTTAGAACCAGTAAAAGAAAAGAATCGTAATTTGACATGCAATAATTGGTATACTAGCATACCACTTGCAGAAGTTCTTTTCAAGGATAAAATAACACTGGTGGGTTCATTGAAAAAGAACAAAAGAAAAATTCCTCCTAAATTTTTGCCAAATAAAAACAAGACTGTGAAAAGTTCAATGTTTGGATTTAAAAAAATATAACAATGGTATCCTATGCCACGAAAAAAATAAAGGAGTTATTCTTATTTCCACAATGCATAATGACGCTGCAATGGACCAAGAAACATATAAATCAGAAGTAGTCACCTTCTACAACTCAACCAAAGAAGGAATTGATACAGCAGATCAATTGTGCAACTCATATTCTATTTCAAGAAGAACTAGAAGGTGGCCTTTAGCTGTATTTTTTTCACTGATGAATCTAACAGGAATTAACGCCCAAATTATCTATAATGCCTCTCATTCCGAGTCATTACAACTAAGGAGAATCTTTTTGAAAAACCTGTCTTTGAATTTGATGAAACCGCATCTAAGAGAACGAGCTACAATTTTTTCGCTACCAACGAACATAAAATCAATTCTGTCAAAATATAGAGTTGAAAAAGAGATTCAAGAAAATGTTCCAGAAGAAAAACGTAGTGGTCGCTGTTGTTTTTGCCCAAAAGCAAAAAGGATAAACACCACGATAAAATGTAGTACTTGTAAAAAATTCGCTTGTAAAAAACATATTGACATCAGGTATACTTGCCAAAATTGTTCAAGACTAACTGGCAGCGACCTGACTTTCTGAAATATATTTTTAATATTTTTTTTTATAGAATTGATTTTATTTTATTTGTTTCACTACATTTCTCTTTTATGTTTTTTTTGTTGTTTTGTAATAGGAATAGAGTTACCTGAGTATATATTTTATTTTGATATTACATAAGAAATATTTTTTTTTTGATGTTATGCATTTTTTTTATGTTAGAATGTAAGTATGCTAAATAAAAATAAAAAGTATACATTTATAACATTTTGAATCGTATTACAACATTGAACGTAAGGTGCACAAAGTGCTCTCCGCAACTACTTATGTAAAAAAAGTTGGCGCGCCTACTTAAGGGTTAAATTAAATAAGATCAATAAATCGTGAAGACTCTTGGGTGAGGTAGGTCACAGTGTATGGATTAAAAAATATTAAGAGTTACACATTAAACTATACAAATTTACAATTAATGATGCGTTTGAAAAAGCATCGTTTTGCTATTTTAACTCTATCGGATCTGCTCCATTGTTTTTTATTATATTAATAATAAACCGTCTTTATTAATAATTTTTTAAAATGCTACAAAAATTTTAGCGAGATTTGACCATAGGCTATTGTTACATTTAACTCCTCTTAATTTTGAACTTAGAAAGTTTGAAGATAAATTAAAATGTTCAAATGTTGAAATGTTAAAATACAATACCCAAATAAGGTTGAAACGGTAGAAAATATATAAAACCAATAATAAAAGTAGTTAAATTAAAATAAATTTAAATTTTAAATATAGGAAACCACGAATTATCTGATGGCTTGCTGTTGGAGAAGAAGTTCTTTTAGTTGGTATTTAAAACTTGATCGAGAATAAGTATTTTTTAGATCAATGTCTATTTCATTATAAAATTTAATGGTATTGTACGTAAAACTTCTAACAAAAATAGCATATGTGTGTTGTGGCATTCTTAGAGTAAATTGTGTGCGGATATTTACATTGTGAATCTGATCACGAGAAATTAATTTAGTTGACAAATATGGTGGATTTTCAGATCTTAGTATATTGTGAACAAACGACAGAAGAAGATATTTAAATAAGTTTTTGATGTTTAACCATTGTAGCTGCCTAAAATATGTTGTAAGTGATCATATATGCGCAACCCATAAATAAAGCGACAGCAGGTATTTTGAATTTTTTGCAGTTACTAAAGAACCCCGCACAAATCTTATGGTAATTGGCTCCCGGTCAAATTGGCTGAAATTTGGATATGTTGTTTGTTTCGGCATCCTGAGCAAAAGTCTCAATGAGCACAAAGGTCAATTTTGCTTATTTTGGCTCCTACGGAGCTCCAAAGCTCCACGGATTGACCATTATTTACTACATAAAAAAGGCAATCTCCTCGAAAGTTTAGTATTTGCTGCATTAAAAAAGAAGTACCTTCTTATATTTTCGGGGTCGCTGCATTCAAATCTATTGCCAGTACAATAATATTGACAGTTGACAGCTGTCAAACAACAAGTAATAATCAAAATTAATAAAATCCACATGTAAATATGTTTTTGAGGTTGGTAAGTTCAAAACTGATGTTAACAACTCGATATTGACAGTTGACAGCAGTCAACTAACTGTCAAACAGTATCTGATAATTAAAATTGGCAAAATTCAGAAGTAAATAGATGTCTTTGAGGTTGATAAGTTCAAAACTGATGTCAAAAAGACGATATTGTCAGTTAACACCTCTCAACTAACTGTAAAACAGCATGTGACAATCAAAATTGATAAAGTCCATATGTAAATATATGTCTTCGAGGTTGCTAAGTTCAGAACTGATAGTAAAAAATCGATATTTACATTTTACAGCTATCAAATAACTGTCAAGCCACAAGCATTATTCAAAATTGATAAGAGCCACATGTAAATATCTGTTTTTTAGGTTGGTAAGTTCAAAACTAATGTTAATAACTGGATATTGACAGTTGACAGCTGTCAACTAACTGCCAAACAGTATGTGATAATTGAAATTGATACAATTGAGATGTAAGCATATGTCTTTAAGGTTGCCTAATTGTAATCTAATGCCAAAAAGACGATATTGACAGTTGAGTACTATCGTTAATTAAATATTTGACTGTGCATGATAATGTGTCAAGATAGAGGAACAGTGAGGTGGCAGCAAGCAAGCTTCACTTGTTTTTAAAATATCGTTTTTCTTACCTTCAGTTTTAAATTTAACAATCTCAAAAACATACGTTTACATGTGAATTTTATTAATTTTGATTGTCACATGCTGTTTGACAGTTAGTTGACAGCTGATCACTATCAATGTCGTCTTTTTGACATCAATTTTGAACTCAGAAACCTCGAGGACATCTATTTACTCCTAAATTTTGTCAATTTTGATTTTCACATACTTCTGTCAATATCGAGTTGTTAATATTAGTTTTAAACTCAGCTGCCTCAAAAACAGATATTTTCATGTGGATTTTTCAATTTTAATTATTGCTTGTTGTTTAACAGCTAGTTGACTGCTGTCAATTGTCAATGTTATTATATTGGCATTGAATTTGAATGCAGCGACCCCTAAAACATAAGAAGGTACTTCTTTTTTATCGCAGCAAATACTAAACTTAAGAGATATTGTCTTTATATGTAGTAAATAATGGTCAATCCGTGGAGCTTTGGAGCTCCGTAAAGAGCCTAAATAAGCAAAATTGAGCTTTGTGCTCATTGAAAACTTTTGCTCAGAATGTCAAAACGAACAACATTTCTAAATTTCAGCCAATTTGACCGGGAGCCAATTTCCATAAGATTTGTGCGGGGTTCTTTAAACAAGGATAATAAATTACCATGCAATGTAATATTTTAATCAATATTAGAATTTGGCAAAGGTATTTTTTCATTTATTGTGAGAATATATACTTATTGGCAAATAATAATTTTAATATTAAATAACACTGAGAAGAGAGGTTATTTATATATTCAATATACCGCAAGTTCTTATATAAAAGTAAGCCTAGATTTCTAGCTACATTTACACACGGGACTGTTTCGTCATCAATTTTATTTGAGATATTACTTTTTATCTAAGCTTTTTATACTTGAACTTGAGTTGGTACTCGAAAATAAAATTAACTTAGATTTAGAAGCATTCAAATGCAAGTTATGTTTACAGAATATGTGTTTATTCGTGATAAATTAGCATTAATTACATTCTGTGCTGCATTTGAGTTATTATCATCAAAAGTGTGATGTAATTGAGTATTAGCAGCAAAAAATTGGACATTGTACGTTTCTATTCGTTTGTTCAAATCAGACGTATAAATAAGGAATTGCATAGGCCTTAGAAAGTAAACCCTGCGGAACTCCTAATTGAATTAATAGGAAACTTGATGCTTGACTGTTTAATAAAACTTTTTGCTAACGATTATTAAGCTATGTTTTTATAAAAGAAAGTGGCATTTCAGAAAAACCATAATAATTGCAGGTGACTTAAACGCTTTAGTACAGTCAAGTAACACTAGTGCTGTAGCTTGTCTCTGATCCAATTCCGACATTACTGAGTCCGTTAAGTGGCAAAGAGCAGTGGTGGTACTGTGCTCTATTCGAAATCCTGATTGATGCAACGGAAGTATA